CAAACTTAATATACCCTCCATACTATGGTGGAGGGTATAAAAATGAGCATAAAGGCCGATTACGCTTTTTTGGCAGCTTTAATGGTTTTTCATATTTTACTCCTTCACATCATGAGAGGAACCTATCCAGTTGCCGATCATCATATCAAAGCCCTTCAGATATCAAGCCCTTTTCATACCTTATGGTCTGCGGATATGAAACCAAGCTGAATGTGGAGGGACAATAAATAGCAACCACGAATTTCCCAAGATTCCATAGGGTCACATTCAAATGATGCCAGGCTGTCGATGCAATACTATCTTGAGTATATACGACCTCAAAGTGGTTTCTATAGTCGGGCTCAAGGAGGTCTCTATAGCTATCCCATTCACCCACTGGTGCATAGGCAACTTTCGCATGCAGGCATGAAAGGAACGACGTTTATGATCTACAGAGATATATGTATAGAGGAATAGGGGAGAATCTGTAAATCGGAACCTCTCAAGCAGGACTCAATAAAATTCACCCTGACGCTGTCTTAGAAGTTATAGAGGAATACAAAGTCAACACCATCCCCAAAGATCATCCGCCATCCATGGCAATCACCAAAAACGAGAGCTGTCCCACTTCAATTCGTATCGGGTCCGTATTGATAGCAATGCTCAAACCAGCTGCCCAGGCTGCAACAATAAAGAATTTGATTAGATCTCTCCGAAAAGAGTGAAATCCACTATGCGATATGTTCAGCTATCGAGCTATTTTTCGTCCACTGCGACGCGTTGCTTCGATCAAGTCGCTTCTTTACTTTCACCATTTCCTTCTTACCATTTCTGCTGATGTTGCTGTTTTCTTCGGTCCATTTCCTTGGCGTCTGGCTACGCTGATAGTATCACGGTAACGAGCGATGGTTTATTCACATTTAAATGCTGGAGTGCTCTAACGATAGCCTCTTGTGGTTTTCCTGCCAAATATAAAGAAGTCACACTATCACGCTTGAATTCCATCACGAATACCTTTTTTCGTGGAAAATTCTCACCGAAATGCTTTTGTACGCTTGTAAACAATATAATGAGCTGTCACTGGAATAATTTTAATAGCTGTCGGACGAGCGGACAAGTGGCTTAGAAATGACAGCAGTCTGAAGTTGGTTGCAGTGTTTTTATCTCACCCTATATGTGCGCTATAGGAAAACGTGGAAGTAAATATTCAATGTTCTGCCACCGGGCTACAACCCATTATGAACTGCAAGTACCAATTTTTATCAAAATATCGAATATCGGGAGGTACTGTAATATGGGGTTGTACAACAAGGTGGACCTATACATACAATGTTTCGCCACTCGGGCTAGAACCTATTATGACCCACAAATACCAATTTTTAGACAAATTCTTTGGAAAATGTGGTAGAAATTATCAAAATACTAAATATCGGGTGGTAACGTTATATGGGGCTATATATACAATGTTTCGCCACCGGAGCTAGAACTCATTATCCGTGAACAAAATGTTGCAAAAATCATCAAAATTCCGAATACGGGAGGTTCCGGAGGAACGTTTTGGAGTAGCCTCCAAATATTCCACAACGTTCGCCGCACGAACTAGAACCCATTATGACCTACAAATATCCATTTTTACACAAATACGTGGAAGAATGTTATATGGGCACTATACCAAAACGTGGTCCGATATATCTCATTTTCAATACTATCCTAGGCGGAATACAAATTGTTCTGCTAAATTTTGACGCTCTACGTCAAATCTTAGTCTTATTTAAACTTAGGATATACATGTCATTAGACATATCTGGTGGTTAGGTAAACAACGGCTCAACATTTCTTTTATCCCGTAAATGTTTTTTTTACTGATTTTATATTTTAAAATATACCGCATTTCATTAAAGCAAAAAAGCATTAAATTGTTGTTTCTATTGTTGCAAAGACATGAAAAAGTCATCGGATATATATCACACCTGCCCAAGTAAATATGTATAAACATACACATGTGTGTTTAGGTTTAAATATGTGTGCGTGTGTGGGTGTGCGATGTTGTTATGTTAACGAAGTAGCTATCCTTTGGCAGCGTTTTTAGCATCATTAAAGCCAAATTTTGACAGATGGCAGCTGATGAAACAATGCTAGCAGCACGACATTTAACCAAAAAGCCGGGAAATATTTATATGGACAATGATGTATACATACATCTACAAAGGTATATGCATAAAATGTATATTTAAATACATTCATACATGTGTAAGAGAACATATAGATAACGGGGATTAATTCTACAGTGGTTTTGTTGGAAAATAAAGTTTTAAGCGATGGCTTCGAACGGTCTCTAACAATGATGATCTTATCTATGTCGGTTTGTATTCAATTATAAGTGCACTTTAAATAATGAATTTTCGTGATCTTGTACAGGTTGACGTAGAGTTTCTTCTCAACATTTTTAGACCCTCAGTCATACAGAGGGTATATATCATTTGATACGGCAAAAAGGTGCCTAGTCGAAACAACGTTTTTAGATCCTAAGTCAAATCCGTTTCAGAGCATTTGGAGTCGATCTAGCGATGTCCGTCCGTCTGTCTGTCTGTCTGGCTGGTGCGTACGATAACCCTCGAAGGGAGTATCCGATTTGGTCCAAACTTGGTAAATCGTAATATTTTTGTCAAACTTAGATGGAGTTCGGAGATGGGCAATATCGGTCAACTCCTTTTGGTACCTCCACCACAAAACGTCGACATTTTCAAAAAATAATTTTTTTGCACAGAAAGAGAAAGGATAAGTCGATTTTGCTCCAACCTTGCAAATCTTAATATTTGCGTCAGTGCTAAGTCAGGTGTGAAAATGGACAATATCGGTCCACTCCATCAAGTACCTCCCCCACAAGTGGTCAAAATTTTGAATAATTACAACTCTCATAAAATGTTATGTAAGAGTCTAATTTCACACATCCCAATATTTATATTAACCCAAGGTCTGGTGTTGAGATGGAATATATCGGTACACTCCCTCTGGTATCCTCCCACACAAATGGTCGAAATTTTCAAAAAAATATATATATTTTTGCACAGAAAGAGAAATGATAATCCGAGTTTGCTCCAAATTTGCAAATCCTAATATTTACGTCAGTGCTAGGTCTGGTACGTAAATGGACAATATAGGACCACTCCTTCTGGAACCTCCCCCACAAAAGGTCAAAATTTTGAATATCTATTAAGCTTATAAAACGCGAAATAGACATCCGATTTCATTCAAGATTTGGTATATCGCAATATTTCTATCAAAACTGCATAAGGGGTTAGAAATTTGAATAATCATAACAAGTCAAAATATTTTTAATAATCGAGCATTAGCTGGGGGCATACAGCTGTCAGCAAAACCGACCGATACCTTTTTACTTGTCATGTGAGACTTTGTGGAAGTTACAATTATTGTTCTAAAAACCGTCTAATATATTTCCAGCTAAAGGGTAAGGTGTTCGGAAAATACTAACCGGTACTAAATTTGGTTACATTGGTATAGCGTTAGTATTTTGATGTATTAATGTCGAGGTAGTAGTAAGGAGGATGATTTGAAAATACAGGGTGAGATAAAAAAACTGCAACAAGTCAAACTCCATAAATTTTACATTTTTTTAATTTTTCTGAATGAAAGCAAAAAAGGTCGGAAATAGCATTAAATTTTAGAATACGTTTAAATTTGTTCGAATTGGTCAACTTTGGCACGAATTATGGCCTTCAAACGGCCAATGAAACCGTCACACGATGCCCGAATGTTGCTCTGCGGTATTTTAATCCGTTTCCGGTGAAGCGCTTGAGGTGATCGACACTTTGGTATTTTTAAGTTCCATCTTTGCTTTTCACAATATTCCAAACACAATAGTCCAACGGATTGGTATCCGGAGATTTTTGTGACCATTGTGCGCAGGAAACTCATTTTGTAACCATTCTTGGGTGGCGTGTGATGAGTGCGATGGCGCTGAGTCCTGTTGGAATGGCCAAGGTTTGCGCCCAAAATGTTTGCGTGCCCAACCAAGGCTTTAATACACCCTCCAGAATATTTGCGCGATAATATTTGGCATTTATTCTGATGCCACGGTCGATTATACGAGCGGAGAGCTACCATCGGCTGTTATGGCGGCCCACACCATCACCATAGCCGGCGCTTGAGTTGTGGTGGCCAACCGAAGGTGCACATTTTCAGCTGAACTCTTTGGCAAGCAAACACGATCATTTTGTTTGTTTACAAACTGCTGGACAACGGAGAACACCAAATTTGATAGTTGGACTATTGCGATATGTTCAGCTATCGACCCATTTTTCGGCCACTGCGATGCGGGTTTTGATCAAGTCGCTTCTTTACTTTTCGAACCATTTCTGCTGATGTTGCTGTTTTCTTCCTTCCATTTCCTTGGCAGGGGGCTACGCTACCAGTATCACGGTAACTAGCGATGGTACGAGACACAAAAGATTTATTCACATTTAAATGCTGGAGTGCTCTAACAATGGCCACTTGTGGTTTTCCGGCCAAATATAAAGAAATCACACTATCACGCTTGAATTCCTTCACGAATAACTTTTTTTCTGGAAAATTCTCACCAAGATGATTTTGTACGCTTGTAAACAATATTATGAGCTGTCACTGGAATAATTTTAACAGCTGTCGGACAAGTGGCTGTCTGAAGTTGATTTCAGTTTTTTCATCTCACCCTGCAAAGTGAAGGAAGTCACCAATATAGGTCTAAATTTGGCACCTGACAATATTTATATAATATATGTTTAGCTTCCATACGAAATGGGTAATATCGGCCTATTCCTTGGGAACCTACTCCGTAGAGGGTCAACAATTTCAATAATGATTACACAAGTCAAAATATATGTAAATAATCGAACCTTGGCTGAAGGTATACATCTGTCGGCTAAACCGACTGATACTTTTTAACTTGTTTAGTTATACTTTCATAATCTACTGCTTTGTGTGTAAATTATTGGAGAATTTATTTTTTTATATATATCTATGAGTTACAAGCGATGTCAAACATAATATATCCTCCACATAGTGGTGTAGGGTATAAATATAAATAATTCCATTTTTTGCCACTTAACTTGAATGCCACTGTGCTGCTAACATTGATACTATGCACACAGATAAATCAAAATCAGGTGGTGTAAATGGTGTAGAACAAACAATCCTAGTCTTATAGCTCCGAACCTTTACAACTTATGTAAGTTTGCTGTGTCGCCGGCGATAACGAACCGAGGTGTTGATGAGCATCATGCCATAGGACAAATAAATTCAGCTACGCGCCTCTATAGCGCACTGTTCTCACTTACATCCCATCAGGTCTATTCATATATAATATGCGTTCGAATATGTATGTGTTTCTTTTTTTGTTGTTTTAACCACACACACACAACGAAGACTATGACAAGTTGATGCTTTTAGATCGTGTTCAACCAGTTCTAAAATGTAACCTGAAAAAAGGGATGTTGATGAAATATTTACATTAACTTTAAGTTACGAGGGTTGAGTCTGAAAAAGCCAGAAATCAAATTTTTTTAAAGCAAGCGGCGTATGTAGGAACGGAAATACTTATGGAAGTCTCTCGTAAATTTTTGGGTATTAACATGTGGGGTTAGATTGTGTCCTAGGTACCAAAAAAAGATACAGGTGCATGTAATTATAAAATATGTCCAAACAAAACCAGATGTTCCCGCATATGTAAAATGGTGGCTTTTGGTGAAGAGAACTGACGGCGGAGGACAATAAAAATCATCCCAAGAAATAAAGAATAACCTGACAAAAGAATGCAATTAAAAATTGTAATAAAAAATGTATGCTGCTACAGCTATGATAACTTGTCTTTAAGTCTAAACAGTGGTATTTTACTTAGATTACCGCCAAGAAAGACAAACCTCAACTCTCCGAACTACTCATTTAAATAATCACAATAGCAAGGTTTCAACAGAAACCACATTCACAACACACACACACACACACCCAAAATATATGGATATCCTCTTCGAGGCATGGTATCACTGAATGACATAACCACAAAAGAGATAATCATAATAAGAGAAGAAGAACAACAACAAAGGCGGTGCCACATGCCTCCAGACATTCTTAACAAAAAAATACGCAATAAATAACAACAATGAGGGACATACCCACAGGGATTTGAGCTTCTTAATAAACAATAAAAGCTGCGATGAGTTGGTCTAATAAACACCCCTACTGAGGCACGCTCACACACCTACTCACCTATACATACACACTCATACACACTCACACCTTAACAATGGAATATTTACAAATACCCAGACAAAAGATGACAGACAGATTTTCGGCGAAGGAGACATTTTAGCAATTCATAACACTTTTCAATGGCGACATTCAGGTGTTGAATTTTCTTAAAGCTATTGTTCGCCCTAATTTAAATCAGAAAGAAAAGCTAAAGAAAGAGTTCTTAAAAGGGGCCACCGAAATTTGTTTGCATTTGATGTTTTAAAGAGATTTATTTGTGGTTAGTTAAAGGATAAGAGATACTTTTACGACGATGAAACATGCAGCAAAGGGAAAAGGCATTACGTTTTTTGGATAACCTCCGACGCACAGTGGGGTGAGAATTCCAAATAGTGAACCAATCTTGAAAAAAGTTGGCATGGAGAGAATATATTTTGGTACGGAGAGAAAATTAGGATGTAGTCTAAGTCTGGACCGAGTTAGAGAAAGCTATACTTAGATCCTGGATCATCTTCGGCGAGTCTATAGCGGGGGTAGATAATACCGCCAGTCCATATGAAGAACAATCCGAGATGATAGCTTTCTTGGGTGCAAGGATGCAGGAGGTAGTGATTGCTCATCAATACCCTCCCTACATTAGAAGATGAGAGAAATATAGGTAGGAGACACATGCAATGCAAATTGGGCTGTGCTTCCCAGGTTTACCCCCAGAACATTGACAAGGGCCATATGGTTAGAGAGGGAATATATTATTTGATACGGTCAAAACGTGCCTCATCGAAATAACGCTTTTAGATCCTAGGTCTCTTTGAAAAAAATCCGTTTCAGGACACTTGGAGTCGATCTAGCGATGTCCGTTCGTCTGGCTGGTGCGCACGATAAATTTTGAATGGAGTATCCGATTTGGTTCAAACTTGGTACATCGTAATGTTATTATTAAACTTATAAGTCCACTCCTTCTAGTAGGTCCACTATAGGTCCACTCCTACTGGTACCTACCCCACAGAGGGTCAAAATTTCGAATAATTATAACTCTTATAAAATGGGTATAAGAGTCCGATTTTCTCCAAATTAATTATTCTATTTCGTGTGAAGATGGAATATGTCGGTGTACTCCTGTTGGAACCTCCCCTATAAAGGGTCAGAATTTTTAATATTCATAGAGATCATAAAACGCGAAATTAACATCAGATTCCATTCAGACTTGGCTTTTCTCAATATTTCTATCAACATTAACATCAGATTTCATGCAGACTTGGCTTATCTCAATATTTCTATCAACACGAGATCTGTTGTGAATATAGAAGAGATCGGACCATTCCTTCTTGTACCTCCCCACAAAGGGTAAACATTTTTGAATAACCAAACGATTTTAAAATCCGAAATAAACATCCGGTTCCCTTCATATTTCACACTTCCCATTATTTCTACTGGCACAATATCTGCTTGGAAGATGAAATGTATCGGTCCCCTCCTTCTGGTATCTCCCTCACAAAGGGTTAAAATTTTAAATATCCATGAAGATCATAAAACGCCCGATTCAATTCAGACTTGACACATCTCTATATTTCTATCAACACAATATATATTATAAAGATGGTAGATATCGGACCATTTCCTTCTGGTATTTTCCCTACATAGGGTTCAAGATTCTGAAACACAATCAAAGAAAGCGGAATAAGCCTCCAACTCTTTTCAAATATCACACATCCAAACATTTTTGCTAACGCAAAATCTGTTGTGTAGATGATGAATATCTGCGAACACCTTTTGGTACCTCACCCACAAAACCACAAAAATTTCAATACATTTATCTGTCATAACTTGCGAAACAAGTCAGCGATTCTTTACAACTTCCTATATCTAAATATTTCTCTCAACCAGAAATCTGAGATGAATATGGAATTTGTGATTTTGGTATAAAAATGGATATAACTATTCGAGTTTCTTGTAATTTTGCCCGTACCAATATTTTTAGCTGTTAATAGTATAAAGTATGAAATACTTCGGTCGACTATATCTGGTACCACACGCACATTTTAGGATTTTCTAAAAGTTATCACATATCTCATATAAAGTGAAGGAAGTAACCAATATAGGCCAAACCTGGCACGTCGCAATATATATATCATATTTATTTATGTCTGATAGAAATTAGATAATATTGGCCTATTCCTTCGGAACCTACTCCATGGAGGGTCAACTATTTAAATAATCATAACTAAGTCAAAATATATTTAAATAATCGAACATTGGCTGATGGTATACATCTGTCGGCAAAACCGACTGATACCTTTTTAACTTTTTAAAGGCTTCTTTGTGCCAATCCCTTTCCAGATGAGCAGGGGTTTCCCGCAGTCGCCACCTATTTTGTAAAACCAGGACTTGTTTCACCCCTGTCCTGCATATGGGGATCCTGCTTATCGGGAGATCTTTTATTGTTGCTTTGTTGATATGTACTCTCGAAACTCTTTACATAATTTAGATTCGTCTTGATTCGACCTATCAGTCAGTCCTGGTGGATCTCCATCCTCATATCGACTACAGCAGCTTACTGCTAGCCGATATGCCTTATTACCTCCCGTCTCCTTGGATTTGGTGTTCTTGCTGACGGGAGAGCCCAGCAGCACTTCAATTTCATCCATGGAGACGCCACTCTGTCCTCCTTCTACCTCGATTGCCCCCTGTTTGTCGGTATTTACAACTAGTTTTTTACTTTTCTACCCTTTTAAAACTATTGTACAGGGATTGGAAAGATATGCCATGCATATAAATTTGCTATTGGTATAACTTTGAAAAAAAAAATGTAATTCTTCTAACGATTTTATTTATAATTTGGGACGCATATTTGAGAACAATGCTTTAAAACAACATTTTTAAAATTTTAAAGTAATTTATATTTATTTTTACAACAGTCCACATTTATTTTGAAAAAAAATCACTTTTCTATATTTCATTCTATTCCAAGGAATTTAAACAAATTGTGTAATTTTATAAAGACTTTAATTCCCGGCACTTTATTTCATTACTCTGCATTTATTTTAAAAGATTTCTTGAGAGAGAGAGAGTGTGAGACGTAAAGACATTTTCACCAATTAGTTAAACGAAATAAATTCTAAATTTAAATTATCCAAGTGTCGTAGTCAAATCACACCCTTGACATGTCTGCACGGTCTGGTCCATTAAAGAACGACTTTGTTTTGAGGGTTAGAGATAAATATCTGACGCCATAGTGGGGACGGGGGCGACAGCTATCAAAACATTCCTTTTTGTGAAGAAAAAAGGTAGCATTTATTTTCTTTTTTTTTTCTTCTTCCCAAAGAAGATGAAGAAAAACGTTTATTTTCTATGATGAAACAACGGCCAACCGTCAAGTCAAATCGGTGAACGGAGTGGAGTGCAAAAGCAAATCTAAGGCTTTTGCTAGTAATGACGGGGAAAACAGAACATCAACAACAACACCAGCAACAAGAAGAAAATTGAAAGTGAAATTTTTATTTAAATTTCAATTACATTCCAGGACAAGACGCACACATACAAACACACACAGTCTGCCTGGTATTGGTGGGAATAATGTCGTTTTGCAACACGCGTCAACATCGTCTGTCTGGCGACTACCTTTTCTTTCGTGCGTTTGTCTGGCATTACTCCCCGCTTTGTGTGCCCCCTGTCCAATCTGTGATCTGCCTCTAATGACGACGATGATGATGCAGAAAAATAAAGGGAATGAAGACAGAAGGGCATTTTATTAAATAAATCCGACTTTTTAATTTACCGACAACGGCAGTGGCAATGATACCACCATCAACAGCAACAACAACTCCGAGAGAGGCAGCCAGCAGGCATCAATTCTGATGAGACTGAATGTCATTTCAGCCAAATTCTATTTAAGTCTAGAATGAATGGAAATCTATGAAAATAAATTGTACGACCAGAAAAAAACAACAACTGAAGACATTTTAAAAATCCTTCAAAATTGTCTTTAGCGAATGAAGGGATGAATTAACTTGAAATGAATTTCGGCGCTCAATAGAGGCAGCTGGAGCATAAATTCAATGTCGAATGATAATTTATTTAAATCTATTCGGGTTTTATGCAAAGAGTTATGATTTTGACATGGCTTATGTTGCAGCAGACCTTGACTAAGAAATAACAATTAAATAATTATAGTTTAATACTTGAATTAATTCAGATGCGAATATTAATTACAAGGACTTTGTTAATTGGTATT